CCTGGTCTGTGGTCCAGGAAAAGCCTTCACACAGGACAGTCCAGGTTTGCTAAAGAGTCACCTGCTCTACCAGGAGACCAAAGGCTCCTGAGGATCCCCTGCTTCCAACCAACCTTAGGGATCAAAACCCCTCCTGCCTAAGGTGCCATGATGGTGGGCACAGCTCATGAGACATAAGGTCCTTTCACTCACCACATTTAATCACAGGGAAGGGCATGAGCTCCAATTCTGAGCCTCCATGGGATTGTCCCATCTTGTGGCCGAAAAGCAGATGTGTGGACAGAGCCAGCAGTCATGAGCTTAGACACATGGGACAGACAAAAAAATGCATGGAAATGTGGACACCAAGGGTGAAGATTTGGAGAAGACTGGTGATATAGCTGAACACGGAGCAGGCATCAACGTGTGATCCCAAGAGGCTGGAGCAGGGGAGGGCACTGGACAAGGACCATGTGGGTGCCACCTAGATGGGGCTCTGATGCTCAGGAGAGAGCTGACACAGGCTGGGGAGGAAATAAGGAAAACAAGGTGCTCCAAGGGACAGGAAAGCCAGGATGTGAAGGAAGGACTTCTGCTGGGGAGCTCATAGCCAGAAGCAATGGAGGGAAGAGGAAGACTGAGATCAGTAGGGCTTACCAACACTTTACAAAGTTGGCAGGGAGGAGCTTTAGAGGGACTTACTGCACAGCATGGAACTTCCTGCGCAGCAGGTAGTCGATGACATCAGGATCTGTCTGGAACAGCCTCCTCAAGATGTCAGACTGCATTTCTGGAGATACCTGAGGGGAGACACGGACACACTCACTCATGGAATCCCCTCTCAGCAGGAGGATGAGCACAGGCAGCCAAGGACAGCGAAATGGCTCCAGGTCAGTATGTGCTTGTGGATCCAACTGTGTCACCTCCCGAGGTCTGCAGGATCTCAGCCCCTGCTTTTCCCCCACTAACCCCATTCCTTTCACTCCCTGCAGACCCTAAAATTGATACAAGGCTTTTTGGGAACCTGAAATGTCCCATTCCCATAGACCTGTCAGGGCTCTTACTGCTGCCTACAAGTGTTCCACTGGAGGCTGGAGAGAGAATGGAGCCAGACATTTCCCAGTAGATGGAGCCAGACCCTTCCCAGAGGATGGACACAGACCGAGGTGCAGCAGGGGCACCTCCAGCAGGGACAAAATCCTTCCTGTAATGATGGTGCAGTCCTGAGACAGGACCCAAACAGGTCACAGCTCCCCATACCTGGAAAGAAGTAAAGAGCAGCTGGATACAGCCCTGGGCTGGCTTTGAAGTGAGCCCTGATCCGGTTGGTCTGGAGGTCCCAGAGCTCTCCTCCTATACAAATCTTTACATGATCCTAAAAGATGCTTTTGGGAACCTCACGGCAATGCATCCCTAGGACAGGATGAGCATTCTGCCTCCTGCTGATGGGACCGAATCTCACACTGAAAATCAGTTCTGAGGTGATTCTGCCCCTCACCAGCTCTCCCTGGCATTATATCTGCATGAGGCTGTGGCACCTCCACCCCACCCCATCTCCTTCCAGCTCCTTCCCTTTTCTAGGCACTCCCATTTCCCCCCTCTTCTTTCTCCCATCACTGTGGCTTTGGGAGAGAAACAGCCATGAGGTGCAACCTTTGCTGTTGGCCAGCTGTTCCCTGTCCCAGAGGAGCTTGGTCAGATGTCACCAGGGTGGGAAGTGACAGAAAAGGGGGTCATGTTCATGGCACAACCCTCAGCTCTGCCTTTATGATGCCAACACAAGCCATCCCAAATCCATGTTTACGCCATGAGGAATGAGTTACATTTCCACAAGCCAACCTGAGTCACCTGCTGCAGAGCAGGGCTGTGAACACTCCCTTCCTCTGCTGCCATTGGAAGAGTTCAGAGGGAAGGAAGCTCCAGAGGAGCTGAACTGAGGAAGCCTCACCTACCGTGAACAGGGTCTGATGGTGCTCAATCAATATCTGGAGCACCAGGATGATGGCAGCACTCTCCTCAAAGTTCAGGGCACAGGCATCTTTCTCTCCAGGCTTCTCCTTCTGCAGGATGTTGGGACCAAAGACTGTGGCCAGGTTTGAAACCGTCATTTTATTCCCAGGAATCTAGGAAGGAAGCACAAAAGGAAACTGGATTATGGATGCACGGGCATGAAATGTCCCAGGATATCCTCACCCACCCCAGGGCAGGAATATGTGCTGTGGGATGAGGCTGGGGTGTTGGTCTGAGTCCAGTTTGATCCTCTCTGAGATGGTGGCAGGGCCAGCATGAAGGGTTTGGGGTGCTGAAGCACACATTCATCCCATTCCCACCTGCTTCACCTTCCCAGCCCCTATCGAGAAGTGAGGACCAGTATTTCCATATCATCTCACATTATGGGACAAAACCAGCCTCTGAATCATGGGGAGACTTGGAGTTGTCCAGAGAAACCAAAATCAATCTCAACACATGGTCACAAGTCCTTCATGGAATTTGGATGTGGAAAGCCAGATTCAGTCCATAAAAAACACCCCTTGCACTGCCTATGCCGACAGCCAGGTCTCTCTGGGGTTACTGCCACCCCAAAAATCCCTGAGCTGGCCTGAGTCATGGCCTGTCACACACCCAGGCCTGTCATGGATCCATCGAGGACCTGTGTTTTTCCAAAGGATTTACTCAAGCTTGCAGCAGCTCTGCGCAGTTCTAACCATTGCAGCCTGAGCAGCCCTTCCCCATGCAATTGCTCCCTTTGGATCAGCCTTACCTCCCGGCCATCGGGGTCCCAGGAGCACTCAGCGTGCCGTGCCACCTCACTGAGGAAGCGCAGGAGCCGGTGCAGGGTGTCGCTGTGGCAGGGGGGCAGCAGGAAGAGCAGCAGCTGGAGGGCAGACAGCTGTGCTGGCCCCTCCATGGCTGGGCAGAGAGCAGATGTTAGTGAGGATCCCAGCCCACCAGGCACTTCCAGCTGGGCAACTCTTTTCTACATCCATGGGAATGAGCTCTAGAAGGAGCCAGGCTGGAGTCCCACCCTTCATCCCATGAGATGGAATATCCAGCAAGGCCTGAGAAGTGATGGCATTAGGTATCGTGCAGCCCCACAAAGACTGTTCTCGACCAGATGGATTATTATAATCTAATTTAAAAATAAATCCCCCAAACCTCGCCAAACCCACATATTAGAGTAGCTACATGTGGCAGCGCCAGGCAGCACATTGCCCATCCCACCACTGTTCAGTGGTTTTGGAAAGAAGGGTGGTAAGGAAGGATCTATTCTTGGAAGTATTCAAGACCAGGTTGAATGGGGCTTGGAGCAACCTGGTCTGGTGGAAGGTGTTCCTGCCTATGGCAGGGGGGTGGAACGAGATGGGTTTTAAAGTCCTTTCCCACCCAAATCCTTCTGTGACTCTGTGCAGTCTCTGCTCTGCAGGTACTCACAGGCTGTGCTGAGGAAAGCATTGTAGAGCTCTCTGGGAATCAAGGAATCCGGCATATCCCGAAGAAACTCTTTGAGCAGAGCAGCCACATCATGAACACTTTGATGCTCATCCAAGAAAACATCCAGACCTCGGTCAAACTCTTCCCTCAGCTTAGAAATGGAAGAAATGAGAAAGATAAAAGCCACAGTGAGTTCTTCCTGTTTAGCAGAGTCACCCTTTGAGGAGGGATGCTTCCGTGGCAGGACATGAGGGCCAGCTACTCCCAATGCCTCCCCTGATGCAGGGCACCCCAGAAAGGTATGACAGAGCCCAACAGCTTCCTGCTGCCCTTTGGATGGGCCATGGGACCAGACGGAGCTGCTGGCTCTAAAGTGCCAGCCAGGGGTTGAAGGCTCGTCTGCAAAAGGCAGCCTGGAGGGAAGGAGCTGGACTGGTCTCCCGACTGGGAGAAGGGCCCAGCAGCAGGATACAGGCTGTCTGCAATCCAGTGTGTGCCTGGGATGTTTCAGACCTCTCCACACCAATGTGTGCTCTAGTCATCCCTATCCATACAAGCCTCTGTCCCTTGGATGTGGTATAGCCACTGAGGATGCAGTAGATGTCTCCTTTT